TTTCATAATTTAAGGGTATAAGAATTAGCAAAAAAACAGGCTATAAACACTTAAATATGTGGTAGATATACATACATGTCTACTTATGTTTACGGGGAGTATCTATATACTATTTCAGAACATTTGGAAACAAAAAAGAAAACAGACATACATAAAAACTATATTTTCAGACTTCCTCAGAGGAAATACTTCTCTAATTCATAGACAAAATAATGGAGTAAAAGAAAGTTACGTCAAGCTACTGCTAATATAATTATTGCTATTCGAGTTTTCCAAATTGAATGGTTAATTCACTATTTCTGCAATAGTGAAAGGGACCTAGATCAAACAATGGAGCCCACTGCTGCCTGCATTCAGAAGCAATTTACAGACAAAATGTAGTTTCTGATATCAGATACATTTAAAAGTCACAGAATTTTGGAGAAAAAACTAGGACTATACAAAATGAAGTACTTTGTAACACTAGTACTAGAGATATTTTATAATACCAATTTAAAAAGTAAATTTTGAGCATTGGCTATTAGAAATTACTATCATATGAGTGTACTAAACATCAAATGATTACTGGCTAAAAGTAATAGTTCAGAAGGACATCTAATGTCTTATGTGGGACTGTTTCTCAAGAGGGTAGCCCATAATGATTTGCAAAATTATCAGATAATGGTAATAAGTTATTGATAAATCATTACATAAATACTATAAGATTTTTTTGGTATTTATACTGTAGTTTAGGAGAGGCTTTTTTCCCTTCAAATTTACTTCATGAGATTATGATTGACTTCAAGTTTTCTTTATAATTATTATTTCAATTAAGTATATCACATTAAGGCAGCTCTCTTGAAATATCCTAATTTTCCTGATATTCATGCAAGACAACAGATCAATTTTGGATCCAGAATTTTCTAAACCATAAGTTTTAGTCAGCATAATCTGATTTGGGATGATAACATATTTCTGCCTTTAATGCTTAACTGAGGAGAACAGTAAAGCAAAAGACAGGTAATGAAAGTTGTTGTTTTTTTCCTCCCACATCTTCATAACTTGGTTGGACATGATAGATTGGCTAGCTTATTGATTTAGGAATGATCAGCAATATTATTTTTCCTAAAGGAATATTAAGGTGATTTATAACTGATTAGAAAGCTAATTCTAGCTTCCTGTGTAAATATGTACAAATTTATAAGTTTGACTCTCTTTCAATTTTTATCTTAGAAATATCTACTTATGCACACAGGTGATTTCAACTTTGTAGTTCCTCAAGCTGAATTCAATTCCTGTTTTCATACTTATACTTTTATACTGCTGGAGCAATAATAAAGTGTAATAGTTGAGGGCTAAGATATGGGTTAAAATATTGTTCATGTCTTTCACTAGCTGTGGATTTTCAGTTACTGAAATGATCTGTCATGTTTCTAACATTTATTAAAAAGGGGTAATGCAATCTCTTATATTATAACTGATCTCTTAAGGTTTGGGTGAGAATTAAATATATTAAAATATACAAAACTCATAATGGTGCTTGTCAAATAATAAGCACCCAATAAATGTTAGCAGAGAATATCATTGTTGCATTATTTCTCAATTTGAATTCTTGTTTATACCATGGAATTAATAAATTCCTTCAAGGGTGAAATGTATGTGTTCAGTAACTAGTCATATTTGTTCCAATTTCTTATTAAAATTTTTCTCAAACTTTATTCAGTTATAATGTTTGTGGGGTTTTTCCATAGTTCATGGACTTAAATAACTATGTTAATGGGAAATGTATACTTATCATTAATAAATGGCTCTGATGTGATCATTTTTTCTACTGCCTTAAAAGTATGTAAATGATAATTAAAATTAAAACATTTGTCAGCTAAAGTCATCTCTTGTGCCTCTAGCAATATCTACACAGCGCATTCTACAATAGCGCCTTATAGGAAAGCTTTCTATAGGTGACTGGAAGGAAATATTTAGAGGATGATGGGCCACTAGATCCATCAAAATTTAGTAGCATTAGGACAAAAGATGGCATAGACATGGCCATAAAAGAATGGTAAGACTGACACAGGTGAACGCCCAGGTGCCCATTCATCAATATTGTGGATACATTTTCTTGCTACTACTTTCTATAACATTTGAAGCTTGAGGTACTTTACATGCCAGGAGAATGACTTTTACCCTAAGACTAGAAAACCAGCTAGGTTTCAAGAAAATGGAACAGGAAGACTCCCCCTAACCCAGAATTCTTCCACCCTTGTAAGTTGAATATAAGACATATATATTAAAATTTCACTGGAGATTTTAAATTTTATTATAATGAGTAGTGGTTAAGAATAGTAAGTTCTAAATGTATGGCAATATGAAATAATTCTTAGATCCTTAAGAGAATTAAATACCAAACAAATATATTTATATTTTCTCTCTGAGAAGATAAAATATCAATGAATAACAGGTGTGAAGTTTTGGTTTATAAGAGCACTCTCATTTACTATTCTGCTCTCATGTTCCTTATACAAAAGACCTTTCATTTCAACATTATTTGAGCATCAGCTATAATTATTTTATTTAGGATAATACTAGCAGCTATAAAATTCCCTAACATACATGCGGATTCTAAGAAATAGAAATTTATTTCTTACTATATAACAGTTAAAAGGAAGTTTTCTATAGGAATCCTTTGTACTCTCTGCAGCTTTTCTCTAAGTAAATATAAAATTATTCCAAAATAAAAAGTTTGCTAAATAAAACAAAGTGAGTCTTCTTGGCCTGTGTTTGGCTTTTTTCAACATAGTGATTCAGGGCCCCAAATTCTTCCATTTTGCATCTTCATCTTCCAAAAGGGCCTCTTTTAATGTTTTCTCCTAGCCAGTATACGAGGAAAGAGAGATCTTTTCGGGAAGCACTCGCTGGTGAATAACTTTCCATTGATCTGAACTAGTCACATGGACACTCATAACTGCAAGGCAAGCTGAGAAATACAGTCTAGATGTGTGCCTAGGAAAGAGGACAGAATTTGGTGAGGGACCATTAGGAACTGCCAGTCTTTCCTCTCATATATCAATTTGCATCTATCTTCCAATGCTTAGAAATACATCCATCTGCCTCTTCAACAGAGACAACCAAAATTCCCAACCAGTTACTGCATAAAACTCCAATTCCAGAATCTCTGGTGATAAAGAGCTTTTTCCATCGCACCCAATTTCTCTCCAGGAGGTTAAAGAACTTGAAAAATAAGCTCTCTGTCCTGATTTTTTCATCATATCCAATAGACAATGGTGGAGCAAAAATTTGGTAACTGGAAACTAACAAAACCCCTTCATTTGTAAAGGAAAGAATGGTAGATGGCCAACAGTCACTGGACCAAAAGATGATTGAATCCTCCTGGGCAGGCCCTGAGACACCCCTGCCCTGACAGTAAAGACAGTACCTGGTTTTCCTGGCTGTCCTTTCTCAGAGAATTTTATGTCTATTGTTCTCCAGCGTTTCTGGCTCTGTTTTCCAGGGGCTCTTTCTTGTCTATTGTCCTCCATGGGCCACCTCTGAAGTAGGAATTGAGGAGGATGGCCTCCTTGAAGGTTGTACTGCCTCATAATCTAGTTTTGTTGTGGAGTGAATATGGAATTCAAGGGTTTTATAGAGTCACATATTTTTATTTTTTAATTTTATTATTATTATTACTTTTTTTTTTTTTTTTTTGCCAGGCTTCTTGTTTCTTTGGTAACACAACTCACTCAAAATATTAGCAGACATTGATCTAATCCCTTCAGTCAGTTATGTGTGCCAACAACCAGAGCCAAAGACATTTGAAGTTCTTTTCTAGACTTTATCCTCTGGTTTTTGTTTTATCGTTGTTTTTGTTTGTTTGTTTGTTTTAATAAATAAATTATCTCTCTCTCTCTCTCTCTATCACCAGCCTGTGCCTCTCCACTCCAATCTCTCCTTGCAAAAAAACCGTATAATTCCTGTTAGGTGAAGTAGTACTACTAATGAGAGCTTCTGTTTCAGTTATTAAACAGTACGGTATTGTTAAAAATTCCTTCTCTTTCTCTGTATTTTATTATAGAATCTGTTTATGATGCTTTTTTAGGAGAAAAGACAATAAGGCATTTAAAAAATTGTTTCTAAAGCACTTAATCGTGTGACTACTGTGTATTTAAGTGCATCTGGATAATAGTGGAAGACATGAAAATTAATAGAAAATTGACTGAAAAAGCTGACCTCACATTATATCATAAAGACAAAGTGTTTTAATATTAAGTATGTTGTTCCAGTTGTCATTACCCCTGAAATATAGAGGTATAAAACAATGATTTTTTGATGCTTATAGAATCTGGTTAAAAAATTCGGATAAGGCACAGCAGGAACAGCTTGTCACTACTACACAGTGTTTGAGGTCTCTGCTGGGAAGACATGAGGCCTCAGGCTGATTCAATGCCTAGGAAAAGGAATCATCGAGAGATCTTTATATTTACATGGTTGGTGATTGACATTGTCCATCTTCTGGAACCTTAGTTAGTCTGTCATCCAGAAAACCTAGGGGCCACTCCCTGTGGTCTTACTGTGTGGGATGATTTGGGCTTTCTCAGAACATGGTGACTAGGTTCCAAATGTGAGGGTGCCAAGAGAACATGACATTTTTATGCTATCATATTTGAAGTCATATAGTTTCACTTCTGCTATATCTTTTGGCTGAAGCAGGCATAAAGGTCTGCCCAGGTTCAAAATGAAGACCACAGACTCCACCACTTGTAGGAGGGGTGTCAAGTTTACATGGTAGGAAGAGCAGAATATGAGATATTGTTGCAGCCAGCCATCTTTGAGTATACACTTTATTCAAATTAGTCAATGTCTACAACATTTATTTCCCATTTTATATCTGCATTATTTACCTTCTTGAATATATCTGAATATGGTTATTTTCATGCGCACTCTTACTAAATTATGTTCTTTTAAGTCATTTACAACTTTTTTTAAGAAAGATAATATAATTGTATCAAATGTCAATATTTTTACAGATATCCCGACACAGAAGAAATCATTCACAACATGTCTTGAAAGATGTCATTCCTCCATTGGAACAATTGGTAAGTAATTCTTCCACTCCAATGTTGTATTATCTACCTACTGCTATAAAATGAATTACCCTAAAACTCAGCAACTTAAGCACACATTATCTCATGTTTTTGTGGGTCAGGAATCGGGCACAGCTTAGTGGAATCTCTTAGAGCAGTCTGTGAAAAGGTTGTAATCAAAGTTTGAGCCAGAACTGAGGTCACATCTGAAGGCTTGACAGGGGAAGGATCTGCTTTCAAGCTCATGTACATGCTTGTTGCCAGTATCAGTTCCTCCATAGGCCGCTCTCAGTTACCTGCCACCTGGGCTTCTCCAGCATGGCAGCTTGCTTCCTCAGACTATGCAAGTGCAGCAGGCAAGCAGTCTGCTAACAAGATGGAAGTTGAAATCTCTTGTAACCTAATCACGAAAGTGATAGCCCATCAACTTTGGCACATTCTATTGGTCAGAAGCAAGTCATTAAATCCAGTCTACACTCAAGGAGAAGGAGGTACACAAGGTTGTGAATAGCAGGAAACAGAGATTTGGGGCAGAGGAGAGGCTACTGCAAATTTTGACAGTTTTTTTTAAGAAAAATTAATACCTTAGTATTAGATCCTAAATCCATGGGAGTGGGGATTAGATCCTAAATCCATGGGAGTGGGGATTTTTTTTTTTTTCACTTTTGTTTCTTGTCATATCCTAATGACTAGAAGAATGCCTGAAACATTGTCAATAACATGAATAAATGGAATATTAAAGATATCTTAAAGACACATAAGCCCAAACTTTCTAATATATTTTAATGCTTTTTTTTGGTTAATGACCACCTTCTTGATAAATATAATGCCTTTTTTCTGCATGCTCATTCTTCCTGCTATATTTCACATCGGTTGACATTCTCCCAGTCCATCGGCTCACAGGTTACTGTACAGCGATGACTTTATTCCTATCTATTTCCTACTGTTCCTTTTCTATTATCTTTGGGCTTTCATTCTCAATATCAAAAATACTTCTTTTCTAGGTTCAGTTCTCTTATTTTCCTTTGCTTTCCATGTTCTAAATCCCTCATCTTCACTCCAGCTAATGCTCCATTACTTCTTTCTGCTTTAGAATATAAATTCTTTACAAGAATTGTCAACCTTTACTGTTGTTAAGTTCTGTCTGCCCTTTATTTCTTAAACCGACTTCATTTAGGATTTTATCCCAACCACCTCCTTTTAAGGTCATCAATTGCTTTCATGTTTCTAGACCTATCTGAGAATTAACCCAGTTGATAACATACATATTTTTCCCCCTAATCTGGCTACTGATAAACCACTTTCTCATGGATCTCCAATCAATTAAATGGCCACCCATTTTCTGTCTCCTTTGCTGGTTCTTCTTCATCTTGTAGCTCAGTTCTTAACTTTGTTCCTCCATATTCTCTAGAGCATCTCATTCAGTGTTATGGCCTTATACACCATGTTAACTAACCACTTCTCTAGGATGGAAAACTGCCCTAAACTCCAGCACTGTATATTGTGGTGTTTTCAATTATATACATCTAACATACATCTCAAATTTAACGTATCCCAAATTGATTCTAATTTTCTCCCAAACTCAGTCTTCTCTGTTTCACAAGATGCTAACTCTATTTTTCCAGGTGCTTCAGTCAAAACTTTTAACATTTAACTTTACTTTGAATTCTTTGTTTCTCTCATAAGGTAAAACTTAAACTTCAAGGAAACCTCTTAGCACTATCTTTAAAATATGTCCAGAATCAGTTCACTTCTCATCACATTTATGCTATCATCACTTGCATGATTTATTTTAATATCTCCTAACTGATGTGCCCATTTTTACCTTTGCTCTCTACTTTTTATTTTCAACACAACAAACAAAGTGAACTTGTTAAACTATAAATTAGATTGAGTCACTCCTTAGATCAAATTGCTCTCTGGCTTTCTATCTCTCCCAGGGTAAAAGCTCCAGTGGTTCATAAGATCTTACTGCTCCCAGCTACCTCTCTGGCCTCATTGTTTCCTTTTTCCTTCTGGCTTATTTTGCTCCAGCCAAGCTGACCACTTTACTTTTCCCACAGGACCACTGAACCTGTTTTCCTCTCTGCCTAGTACAAAATAATTTATTTGGCGCCCAGAAATTTGTAAGGCTCATTCCGTCACTTGATTTGTATCTCTGTTCAGATATCACCCTTTAAGATAGGTCTTTCCTAATCTCCCTTAAAAATAAACAAACTAAACCCCCACCATTTCCATCCACACTCTTTTTTTTAACACTAAATTAATTTTATCCATAGAATTTATCTCCATATAGCACACTATAAAATGTATTTTTGTCAGTCATCTCATTAGAATGTTCTATGAGAGTAGAGGTACTGTTTCCTATGTTCATAACTCCATTCCCATGATTGTAATGATTGCTAGAACATGGTAAGAACTTAGTAAATACATATCGAATGAGTGCACAAATGAAACAGGTGGTGGCTCTGGATTTTACTTCCCAGTTTATGATACACAGATCTATACTTATATACATTCTCTTTATTCACTCACTCTATATCTTCAAGTGCTAACCAGTCATTTGTTCTAGTATGTCTCAATGTCATTTCAAAAGTGAAATCTCCCAAATCAAATCCATCATCGCTTTCTTCCCATACTGATTCCCCTTTCCACTGCAGTAGCGAACATTCATCTGGGCTTAGAATACATTTTATTTGGATCCTTTATTTTCTGTATGACCCTTCATATAAGTCACCGGTTTCTGAAGCAGTTTGTCCACAATGGATGTGGTCCCCATGTTTTTCTCCACATGTACACGCATACTCTTGCCCAGGCTTTGAAATACTTTTGATACCCCCTACCCTGTACTCAGTGCTTCACAGAATCAACCCCTTTTCCACTGATCCTATGCAGCAATTCCACACCAACCTTCTTTAAACAGCACCTTCACTCTTTCGTTCTCCTTGTCAAAACCTCCAGCAGCTTCCTATTCTCTATAGCATCAAGTCTATAGACCTCTCTCATGGTACTTGATTTACCTTATTTATCACCTACTCCCAAATACATACCCTCAAGCCAGCAATAGTAACATGATTAAGGTATGGCTCACACTGAAGGAGCTTGGATTTTCTGTAACAATTATAGTTCCTTTATCCCACCACTCTTTTGTGTTGTTCACTCTTATTTCATGGGTAATAGACTTGTTCCATAGCTAGACTGTTAATGTGTTGAAGTTAGGGGTCATGACTTGTATTTTCTTTATTATATCATACGTGCCCTTCCATTGCTTTTGGCGCTAGTGTTTGTTCAGAAAGGCCATGTTTGTCAATTGATTTAATAATAAGATATTAAAGGTATATTAAAATAATATTGTTGGTTGCAGATATTAAATAATATATGCCTGCTCTCCATAGTGAAAGCCAAACTTTCAATTTAATTCGATGTAACAATATCTTGTTTTCAAAATAATTACTCGGGTCACAACTTAGAGAACATTTCCTCTGGGAAGTATTTCTGAGTTCTCAAATTTGACTTAGGCAACCCTTCTTTATTCTGACTCCCTATAGCTGCTTGGTTTTGCTTTATCTCTAAATTGCCTCTATCTTTAATCACACTAAAATTGCCTGTTTCCTTTTCTATCTCTTACTGAACTGTTATGCTATTTGAGGAGAAGGCTATGCCTCATTCACTGGTTTCCTATTTGGACTTTATATAAGGTCTGGCACAGTATAGTTGTCCAGTAAATAGAAAAGTAATTGTGTTTCTTTTCCACAAATTTGGATTATAGAACAAATAAAGCGCATATAAATCATTATAAAAGTCATTTATTTTAAATATAGCAAATGTAGATGCTGGTCTGAAGTATTTGATGAAACATGGCAAACAGACTGAAAATGGAGCTATGTGACTGTGTATATGTAATATAAATATACATGTGCAATTATATATAATTATATATGTATAAATATATATGCAATTATATGCAATTATATTTGGACAACGCCTTAAGATATCTCAAACGTTTTGCATAATACATGTATTAATTATAAATTTTCAAAATTCAAATTATGGCTATTAGTAAAATTTAATCAATAACCAATGCTGTTTTTGCGCTATACTTATATATCAAAAATAGACTAATGTTAAAGAAATAATAGAATATTTAGAAATGTTTTTCTTAATTTGCTTTTCTAACATTAAGGTTATTCGTTGTTTAACTGGCCTGGTTGGCTGTCTTGACTTTGCAGCCTCAATTCTTAACAAACAAAATTCATTTTGAATATTCTAAATTATGAATAGCATATTACTAGATAATACATCTATGTTCTCAATGCTCTATTCTAGGTCCGAAAGGTGGCATTGACAATGGATTTAATAATATGCATTATTCCATTATAATGAGCAATGCCTTCCATTAAATGGAAGGAAAAACAATAATTTGTAAACTCTTTAGTTTGTAATCTCTCTAAATCTCATTCTCTATCTCTATCTTTCTTTGTCTCTCTCTCTGTCACACATACACACAGACACACACATACACACACACACAGCTCTAGAAACTTTTGGAACTACAAACCAAGTTACTTCCTATTCTTGACTTGAGTTTCCTGGGCTCCTCTCTCTGAGTACTTGTTTATCTCACTTTGTCTTGTGAACACAGGTTATTTTCCATTTTTATCCATCAATTTGTACTCGCATTACATTGCTTATTTAACGTGATTTTAAAAGCAGAAATGCTTATCTTTTCCCACAGCTCTTATGTATGCATTATTCCATTATAATGAGCAATGCCAAAATAACCACCAGTTCTCCCAAACAGCAAATTCTGATTAATTTTTAACTATCCATTACCATTTACACCAAAACTTGAATTATTCCTACAACATTTACTTTACATCTGACTAATCTAACCTTATATATATATTTTACTTAGACTCATATATTTTTTTCACAAATCTGGCATGTTCTATTTTCTATCTCTGCAACCCTCCTTCCTTCCCTCATGCCTCAGTGTTACTTCCAGGGTCATC